TTAAGTCAAATAGATCCAAATTCTTTTGAAAGCTGGTGGTCTAGTGGTATAGTTTTAACCATGTACTTTGCTGCTAGTCGAACTTACACGTGTAACCTGAGACTGACTTGGGCAAAAAGAAAACAGCTGTATTTTTCTTGTGGTTTTTCAAGAAAACATCCTTTTTATACAGATTGAGAAAGAAGAATCAATGGCTATATCTAAGGTGATTAAGATTAATTTGTGAATATAGAAACAAGATTGAAACAAATTTAAGATTGCCTTTTCTAAAATAAAATATTTAAATTCAATAATTGTGTTATCTATTATCAAGGACAATTGATCTTCTTCTACATAACCCCAGAAAAAAAATTACCAAATATTATCTGAAGACAGGTCTCTATCCTACTATGGGTTCATATGGCTAATATTTTAGAAGAAAAAAACTCTCACAAATGGGACTGAGAACCACTATTCCCTCTTACATATAATCAGAATAAGGAAAGAGATTTTTTAAATGTTTTTATTTATTTTAGAAAGAGAGGAAGGAAGAGAGAGAGAGGAATGGAGGAGAGAGAAACATCGATGAGAGAGAAGCATCGATCAGCTGCCTCCTGCTTCCCCACACCGGGGGTCGAGCTGGTAACCCCGCATATGCCTCAACGGGGAATGGAACCCCGGCAACCTCTTGGTGCATGGGATGACGCTCAACCAACTGAGCCACACCGGCCAGGCGCGGCAGGTAGGTTTTTATCCCACACTGCATACTCAGTTACAGAGGAAGTAGGACCTTTCTTCTGATCCTCTTAAGAGTTTTAACATTTGCCTGGCCAGTGTGGCTCAGTGGTTGAGCATCGACCCATGCACCAGGAGGTCGCCGGTTCAATTCCTGGTCAGGGCACATGCCGGGGTTGTGGGCCAAATCCCCAGTGAGGTGTGCAAGAGGTGGCTAATCGATGTTCTCTCTTATCGATGTTTCTCTCTTTCCCTCTCCCTTTCTGTCTAAAATCAATCAAGAAAAAATTTTAAAAAAAAGAGTTTTAACATTCCCGTCTGCTGGGGAGATGCCGTGTCCAGATTCCCCTCTGCTACTTAGACGTGGGACTCTAACCTAGCATCAGTACACCAGATTCGCTAAGGAAGGCATAGTGACAGGTGTTTGAGAGAACTCATTTATTCATTTACAACAATTTGTTGAGCACCTGCTATGCTCAAGGCACTGGTCTATGTGCAGAGATTGAGCAGAAAACGAGATGGAAGTCCCTGCCTGACAGACTACACTGCAGTGGAAGAGATACAGTGAACAGAGATCACATGCCGTAGGTTGAGGGATAATCGAGTGCCATGAAGAAAAGTGAAGCAGGGAAGATGGGGTAGAAGATGGAATGTCCAGAGATGCTCTGGAAGGCCTTTCTGAGGAGGTACCATTTGTGCAGAAACCTAAATGATATACAGGAGCCATCCAAGTACCCGGGAAAGAGTGTACCAGGCAGGGGACGCAGCAGTGCAAGGGCCTCCGATGGAATACGCTCGTAGTATCGGAGGACTGGCAAGCAGGCCAGTGTGCCAAGTGCGGGAGGGCGTAGCAGGAAAGAGGCTGGGGTGGAAGCTAGGGGCCAGATCATATAAGCCATGTTAGCAATATGGGTTTTGTTTTTTAGCTGTATGAGATTGTTTGGAGAGTTGTGAGCAGGCAAAGGGGAAGAATGAAATTGTGGACACAGGCAAGGTTACCTTAAACTACGTAGGAGATGGTGGCTTGGACTGGGATGGAGTAAAGCTATATATATATATTTATTTTATTTTGAGAGTACATTTATGAAAGCTGGGGACAGTAAAACAAGGGTGGGCTTAGGGTAGAAGAAGCAATAGGAGAGAGCTCAGGAGGGGCTGCTTTGGCTCACTGGAAAGTCAGAGGAAAGAGGGCCTTGGAGACAGGTTCAGGGGGTTCTCCCAGGATGAGCTGCTGCTGCCCATTGCTCCCCTGGTTACAAGTCCTGTGGGGTCCCTTGGCGTTTAGGAGATGCATGCCCAAGAGGGAAGAAAGGCATGGGCATGCTCCCAGGAGGGAGAGCACTAAAGTTATATTTTGAAAGTCAAACTGACAATTTGCTGATGAGCTGGGTGTGAAGGTGAGTGTGAGAGAAAGCTGGGAATCAAGGCTGACCCTAAGGCATCTGACTTGAGTAACTGGGTGTCTGACAAAACCATTTAACACTGGAAGGCAATGGGGGTGCTCACACTCTGTTTCCAAAAGGTGCATTTCATGATGCTGTCTTGGATGTCACAAGCTGGTAGATATAAAAATCTATAGCTTAAAAGAAAAGTCAAGCTGGGAGGTATAAATGTCATGGTCACATACATACAGTGTTTAGGGCCATGGGACTGAATGAGACTCCCTAGGGAGTGAATGCAGGGGGAGCGGAAGATTGAACTCTGGGGCTCTTCAACACCTAGAAGTTTGAACACAGAATAGGATCCAGCAGAGCAAATGAGAGAAGCCAGATAAATACAAGGAAGTTCAGGGGAGAGATGAGGTTTCCTGGAAGGCATGTGAAGAGCATCTAAGGAGCAAGTCGTCAGTGCTGCCACCAGGTCCACTGAGGACTGAACGTCAGCCACTGGTTTTGGCAACGTGGAAGGTGACCTTGACCAAAGAGGAGTTTCTATCAATGATGATGTCTTCAGAACACATGGGAATCATAAAATCAACTCTGATGTTCCAGCAACCTCCTGACACCAATGCCTCCCACCTGTTAGAAATTCTTTTCCTGTTTCCCTTTTCATTATACACTGTCCTCTTATTCTAAGGTTATTCCAAATGAAATCACCTTCATTTAACCTTCAGTTAGAGGGCACATCCCAGTAAGTGCAGTACTTTGTAGCGACAATCAATGTGAAATATTTTAACTGTTAATGATGATCTCCTACCCCACAATGCCAACCCTGGAAAATTACTCAATATTAGGGTATTAAGTTTGTCACTAGATGGATCGATAAAACACAGAAAGTGATTGTAAAACAGATGTTGTGCCTCTCCAAGGAGGATGTGTCAACAGTCAGAAAGGTTAGAAAATGGTACATAAAGTTTCTTTTTTAACTGAGGGAATTCTTAGCGCTTTTAATATTCTAACATGCATTTTGAATCTCCAAGAGGTGACAACCCCATTTCCCAAACTTTTTTGACCTCACACAATTACTGTTGTAGGTAATATATGTTGAGAACAATGATTTAGGAGAATCCAGCAATCCTCATAAGTGGTTATTGCCTAACTGCACTGAATGTTGCCTAGAGACCTACCATCTGAATGGACATTTCACCAGCAGTAGACTGTTGTTCCTCACAGAGCAATTTGTTACTCTATCCTCTTTAACCGAGAGATAGGACACAGACCTCTCTGATGTGATTTTTGCCACCTATTAACCCCACTTTCCCCCCCCGAACCCAGTTCCGAAAAGGCCTAATTTCATTTGCTAAATGAGCTGAAGTCTCCAGTTCTGTGTTTGTTTTTTTTCAACTTTCTTTTTTCTTTATTGATTTGAGAGAGAGAGGAAGAGAGAGCTAGAAACATCAATGAAAGAGAACATCGACTGGCTGCCTCCTGCATGCCCCCCACTGGGAATCTGGCCCACAACCTGGGCGTGTGCCCTGACCAGGAATCGAACTGGCGACCTCAACCACTGAGCCACACTGGCTGGGCAGTCATTTAATTCCCTTTTATATCAATAATCGTTTTCCAGTCTCCCCTTTCTGCCATGGATCCCAATGTTTTCATGATGACCACCATGAAAATGGATCCCGTTCCTTACCCACATTAGCATGGCTGAAAATAATACACAGGGACCACCCAAATAGATGTGAGAGGAGGGAAATGAATGATCGACTCAGAAAGTCATTTTGTTAAAAATATTTATTTAAAAAAATACAATTGTCCATATCTAGTTGCACATATATCTATGAACACATCTCTATAATTGGACTTTAGTAAATTTGCTGCAGTGCTTTCTTAAAAGCCAGCAAGCCATTATACAAAGCAAATTTGTCAGTTCTTCCATAAAATAGTTTTTGAATGTATCATCTTTCTAATAACATGCATATAACCATTACAAAACTTAACACGTTTGCATAAAACTCGAAGCGATAGGAAAAAATGATCACCTGATTAGTTATCCAGAGCAATGTCTGAAGATGCGCTGAGTGTCGACTCCACTTTTTTCCTCTGCAGAGCAGGGTTTACAAAGTCCTGCAAGTGCCCGCACTACAGCCACCCAACGTAAAACAACATCCCTTTGTTTCCCGACAGGTTAGCTAAGTCAGGCTGCTCAGCTAGACGAGATAAGACAGCAGTTTCTCTGTTACATCCAAATTCGTATAATTTTAATAAATGGTATCAGTTACCATTATTTTAATTGCTTTTTTTTCCCAGGTAAAAAAGAAGAAAAAAGTGATTTAATACTTTGAAAGTCTCCCTCACGTAAATTACACTGAAATGAAGAGCGGTCACTAATGACACTTGAACAGATCTTCTCTCCTTTGGGTAGGTATGCACCGCATCTTAGATGTAAGTATTCTATTTATACGAAAGTGGTGGATCCTGGATATTATGAGAGACTGATTTCAGTAAAATAAACAAGGGGGATAGAAAACGAAGTAAATGTCTTCTTGGTTGAGTTGCTCTGGGTTTCAGGAAAGCACCCTGACTAGCTCCTATTACCACATATCAAACACTGACGTAAAAAAAATACATCTCTTCTGTGTTAATGCCATAGCAGACTTTTCTTCTGAACTATAGACTGGGTGGATGAACATTAAAAGTTTATTATTAAGCATAATTTAATTTTCAAGTGATGTCCACACTTGAAGATCCAGTAGGGCTCATTAAAAAATTGTTTGTTCTCACCCAGTCAGTGTGGCCTGGTGCACTGAGCAGTCCCGGTTCGATTCCCGGTCAGGACACATGCCAGGGTTGTGGGCTGGATCCCCAGGGGGCGTGCAGGAGGCAGCCGATCGACGTTTCTCTCTCTCTTCCTTCCTCTCTCTCTAAAAAAAAATCAATAAAAATTTTTAAAGAATTGTTTGTTCTTCAAAATACAAAGTTAAACACTTTTTTATTTTTAGCTAGTTTGATTATTTGGTGACTAAAAGGCCTAATTTAAAAAAATTAATTTTAGTCAAAAATTTTATCTCCTCAAAGCAAAGCTAACCAGTGGCAAAATGACTGGACTGAGTTTTACTCGTCATCTTCCCTACCTACAAAGGGGAATGAAACTGCTGGAAGGCAAAACGAAGAAACAGATATGACTACAATCAGAGAAGACTGAATGGCCAAACTGAATAAACAGGACTCAAGTAATCAAAAAGTAATTATATTGATTTCTATCTTTACATATAGGCATCTTAATTTCACTGATACTGAGCAGGGAAGTTCACCAAATATGCTACTTAACACATAAGCAATGAATGTAATGCACGCACAAAGGCCACTGGTACTGCTGCCCTCAAAAACAAAAAATATGAAATGTCTTAAAAGAAACGGTGTCCCCTACATAACAGACATTGAGCAATAATGGTAAAACAGAAAAGAAACTTAAAATCGGACAGTTTACAAAGTTGAGTATAATCTATCAATTGCAAATCATTAAAAGTCATACATTTCTACAAAGCAGATTAAAAGCTTGTAAATTATTTAAAACATCCTAGCCCCCAAAGCATACCTTACAGAGCCCAGAACAATGCTCATTAGGTAATCCATTTATCCCTCCTCCAAACAGTCTTAAGTTCCAGAAAACATAAATGAGAAATAAAACCTTACTTCCCTGACCCTCAATATCCATAAGTTGAAATTAAACAAAATAATCAGTAAGTGCTTCCAGTTATTAAAAACAAAACAGTGCTAATAATGGTGCCCAAACAGTGCCAAGTGATTTAATACCAATCTATGGCATTCCCATCCCTGAACTCTAGGCATACTGTAGCAGTAATTTCATTGGCTAGAACTAGATCTCTGGCCCAGGCACAGGATACCCACCCCGACCCCGTCCAGAAGACCCCAGGCCTGTCCTAGCATGGCTCATAATCCTTAGAAGGGACCCTTATGAGATGGAAAACAAGGCAAAGTTGAGAACATTCAGCCCAAGATACTCTGAGGTTTCTGCTAACACTTATTATGCACAGTTTAAGAGGATAAATTAGGCTACAATGTCAGAATTCCTCCACTATTTTATCAATCCATGGTCAAATCAGTATTTCAGAAATATGGCATAAACCTCCCCTCGGAGAACCTTAGAACCCAATGTAATAAGGGTTTTACACAAAAGCACAAGTAAACGTGGAAATTTTAAGAAAGGACATACTTATTTGCTCAATAATACATGAAATTAAAAGAACAGTTTAAGGTGACTTTAGCATATGTCACATATAGCGCTGTAGTTCTAAACTTTTGGCAAGCAATTAGTCTTTAAGGCCTATGATTCTATGCATTTTAAAAACTGAAATGTGCAAGGCATTAATTTTTAAAAAGTGGCAATTGCAAAGTGCGCCAATTTCTAAAAAATTTTAGTATAAAATAGTCTAGGAGCCATCCTAGACGATGAATAATACATGTTCCCTCTGAAAAACAGATGTATTTATACACCCACACACAGTCAACACATCAATATACACACACACACACATACTCAGCCAATAAATCACAATACTTGGAAAGAAGTGCTCTAGTCTCCTAATTAAATATTTAAAAATAAAATTTTAAACCTCATAAAATTTCCTGATGTCTATTATACTCAAAAGACTAAAGTTCAAGAGATTTACTACGTTTGACAGTATCCCTCATGAATTTTCGTGTTAAGGGTTTCATTTGAAATGTTAACGACAGTTTGAATTTCCTGGTTTCTGTAGAGAGCTTACAGCCAACACTTCCCCTCTTCCTCAGACCACTCTGGATTCCATCTTCCACAATGGCTAAGTGTGAATGGCAGCACCCAAGAAAATGCTATATTCTGGCAGGCTGTCAATCTACTGCAATTTTTTTTTTCCTCAGAAAAGTAGCTTGAAGGAACTGGCAGCGTCAAATGGAACATTTATACTCCATCAACAACTCACCCTTCAGATCAACTCTGTTTACAGGTCAAAACATGACTTTTATACTAACAGGTTCCACCAAGTATGAGAAATGAAATCAAACCACCTTCTTTTCTTGCTTAACACACTGCCACCCACAGGATTTCCAGATTCTAAGATTAAAACATTGACTTCAGTTAGCAGAATTCTGATGACCTAAGAGGAATAACACCAGCACCGCATTTGGGACTATGCCAGCAGCGTTAAAACCAGTAACAAAACACTCGCTCGCTGACCCAAAGCCAAGAAGGTACTTCACAAAATACTTTCCATAGAACCCATTATCTGGTCATAGAACCTGCTAAAGAAACACAACTATGGTTTACCTCCACTTCACTATTATGGATTAAATAATTAACTTCTTTGTTCCTTTTTAGAAATAATATATTCTGTCACACCCAGATAACAGACTGTATTATGAGTCTTTTTTACTTTCCTGTTGATTTGGTAATCCTTCAGAGCCCCCAGTTTCTGCACAAAGAGACCAGCATTTGTCTCTGCACCTGTTTACACACCTAAAAAGGGAACCTCAGCACAATTCTAGATTTGTGGCATGGATTAATTAAATGTATATGGTAAATGAAGTGATACAGACCCATCAAGAGTATTTCTTCAGATGCTGAAAAGTTACAAAGAAAAAGAGAAAAATAAAACTTACTAATGCAGCAATAAAATGGAGGTTATGTACTTTGACATAAAGCAACTTGAAATAATTCTGAATTTGTTGGTAAAATATAACACTAATAAGGCCAAAGAAGCTTGAAAGCAGACTAGTAAAACAGAAGTGCATTAGACAGTCATACTAACACGAAGATAAAAGAGATAGCAGGCTGTCCAAAATAATATGCAGGAAGCTCTGGAAAACATCTGTAATGGGTTACTTGGCAACTTATGAAAAATAATTAATATGAAATTTCAGAAAGTTGATGACAAGCTCTCCTGAAAAATTCCAAATCTCTACTAGAGAGTTTACATGAAAATCAGCTCAAATATGTAAAGGAGTTCTCCATATATCACAATGAAAGCATCCACTTTTTTTTTTTTTTTTTTCAAATTTGATTGAGAAGCAACATCCTGAGTCAGTGGTCATTGGAGTGCATATTGCTAGGCAATCCATTGGGTGCAGGAAGAAATACTAGAATTTCTACTCAAGATTTACTTTTTTAAAATTTTAGAGAGAGGAAACAGAAACATCAATGTGAGAGAGAAACATCGTTGGTGGCCTCCTGAACTACCCCGACCAGGGCTTGAACTCACAACTTGAGTATGTGTCCTGACCAGGAATCAAACTCACCACCTTTTGGGGTATGAAAAAATCTCCAACCAACTGAACCACACAGGCCAGGGTCTCAAGATTTACTTTTTATGCCATCCTATTTCTATTTTTGTGTATGTCTTATAATGTACATATTACTTTAGTATAGCAGTATATAACATATACATGTATGAATTTGCAATAGGGAATTTGTGTTCAAAGATTTTTACTGATCAAGGTATGTGTTTAAAAAGGCTGGAGACTGCTTTTCTGAAATGCCAATGAGTGTCTCTAATGTGCTTAAATTCACCAGCAACATAAAAAACTGCCTTTTAGAATTTGAGAATCATAACACAAATTCCGACATCAGGATGAAAGGCTGTCATTAGACTGACATCGTACAACGCCAGGTGCGACTGAAACTGAATGCTATCAATAGCCTGCAGTTACAGCCCCAGAATTCCAAGCTTCTGGTTTCTTTTCCTCTCTAAGCCCAAGGGACACATTAATATGGCGAAAACTAGAAATTGTGCCAGGTAGGTAGATTCAATAGTCAGTCCTGCCTTTTTGACCTCTAATATAATATGTAAATCTTTAAGAAATTCTTCCAGTTTAAAAAAAAAAAATCTAGTACCCTTCCAAGAAGCTCATGGGCTTACTGTCCCCATCAAAATTTGAAGAAAAAGAATTATATACTTATTTTTTAACCATAAAAAGTAGAAAAATTAAACCTGTATTTTAACTCTAAGAAACTTAAGGTTGACATTTTGAGAGTTTCTGGATTCTCCATTACGCATAAAATTTTTAAAATCAATGGATGTTTCCACCTTTGTTTGAATACATAAAATAGGCCACGAGGAATCTAACATCACAAAAGCACTGTGACAAACCATGAAAAAAAGATTACTGAAGTCAGAAATGTGGTTTTAAGTTTGCATTTGTAAAAATCAGCACATGAACAAAAATGTTTTATAAGTTATGTGAAAATCCACCACCCCAGAGTGAAATACACAGTGGGATGCTGGCTGGGGGTGCGGCAGTGCAGATCCCTCCTCAATCCCAAGGTGGTAGCTTAAAATCAGCCATATGGGGAGTAATTCTCATCATGGGAGTCAGCAAATGATACAATGTAAGTGCTTTTTTCCCCCCATCAGAGAGCCTAGCAGTGAAAACATTTTCCAGCATACAACTGAGTGGATAGACCAGAGCAGATGGAAAGCTAAGATAATCACAGCAGATGTCTCAAAAACTCATTTAACCTGCTCCCCCCATCTTAACTTAGGCTACTTTTGCCCACCAACATTCATCCTGGGAAAGTGACTCGTGATGGATACCAGCTACAGCTACCAAATATAAGTCTCTCCAGTGAATACTGGTCTTAAGTGGTATGTCACCTTTGGATGCTAAGAACTCTATGGATGTTCAAAAAATATGAAGCTGAGACTTCCAGGAAGGAGGTAGTTTACAAATAGAACGGTCTGTCTCAAACACTTGAGCTAAGGTTGTAAACATTCATTTATAAAAGGGCACACACACACATGCGCGCGTACGTGTACACACACACACACACACACACGCTTCCCAGATTAATTGATCTCAAAGAGAAAGCAGATCATCATCAGCCGCCTAAAGGCCCACACCTCTAGGGGCTTCCAGGATAGGGTTAGAGATGGAGGATTCACTAAAACTGGTTCCTAGGAAGTTGCTTTGACTCAGTTTTAATGGTGTCCTCGCTTCCCAGGCACCCCCGTGCTGAGACAGTTAATTATTAAAGACATCATCTGAGAAAACCAACCAATGGGTTTTCTCCTTTAATTCCAAAAGATAAAATATTTTTTGTGCTTTAAAATGTTTAAATATCTAAAAGTCAATCCACCAATATGTATTATTTCATATGCGAAATGTTAATCAACCTAATAAAACTATTCCAAAGTGCCGCCGAGAGGTTTAATGTCAAACAGGCACACAAACTAAATGATTCAATATGGGGAAAAAGGCCAAGTCTGTTCCGCGTCACTCCTGAACACCACTACCTTTCAACACTACCTTGCAGGTCTCAGGAACAGACCTGTCAGCTGTGAACACAGCGGAAGCAGTAACAGGTCTTCAACGCTGCAAATTCAAAGGCAGCTCCCTATACATCGTGCCCCCCCGCGCCTGCTGAACCAGCACAGCTGTCTTCCACGAGAGCTCCGCCACACTGTGTGTAAACACAGTTCAAGTATTACACATCTGAAAGATGCTGGTTTGTATCAGTGTCACTTAGGGCTCTCAAGTCTTTATTCCCTCATTCCATTCAGTTCATGCAACTGAATTACAGGAACTATTTCTGGGGTTAAAAGACTGGTTTAATGGACAGAGTGGTGGCGAGGGTAGTGGCCCTATACTACCTAATCCTGGACCTTAAAGCCAAGATTTCAAAAGATTCTTCACTGAGATGTTGGTATCAGTTCAGTTTCAGGGGATCAACAAAGCTGTCCGCACCTGACACTGATGACCGTAAATATTTTATAAATTCGGTTAATGTAGAGACAAAGGCCTAAATTTTTCACTACTAATATGTACAATTTAATTCCTATGCCTGAGAATTTCCAAATGAATTCTGCTCCTCCCCAATTTAAAAGAAAAAAATTCAAAGAAATAAGCACATTTGGAGGCTTCATTTCACTTTTCGTCTTCCTAATTACATCTTCAAAACTACCACAACCTCTCACAACCTTGCACTTAAAGGAAGATAAACATACAGTAGAAAATGAGGTAAAATGAACAGAAAAGGGAAAGGGCCCTTCGTGCTGGGTGTCCTCTAACCGGGGAAAGCCTCGGGTGTCGTTTCAAGTCATTCCACTGAATCGTTTACTGAGATGCCTCAAAATCTCAAAACCTGGGCTTCTCCTCCTAAAAGCCACCCTTTACCATGCTGCATTCCACGGGTGTGTAACCACAACACCCAGCGAGCAGCCAACACTTCTGGGCTAGACATGGGCTCCCATATTCGCACTGGCTGTTCAAACACTGCTTTAAACCCCAGGTTTAAAAATCTGCCTGTGTCGAAATAGGCCAGCTCCATGCTCTGTTGACAGGTTCAGACAAGATCACACATATGGCTGAGAGTACACTTATGTTGGAGCACACAGAAAAACAGAATCACTCCAATAGTACTGCTCCAATCTTCCTCTGTGTGAATAGAAACGATTCTTTTTCCTCTACTGCTTAGGCACAGCTCACTTTTCGTTATTCAACAAAGCATACTTAGTCTTAGAGATATGGCCAATTTTACTTAACTAGTATTTCTTTAAGTAATATACTCAAAGCACAATTTTTTTCTGGCCAACGGGTCTCACCCAATAAGGCAGAAGTAATAATTTGGTTCTTAATTGCTCTTGCAAAACAGAGCTAGCTGCTAAACCCCACCAAAACTTTCTTTCAGCACAAAGCTCAAAATACTTTTTAGAAAAAGAGGAAGGTGGAGTCTGGACTCCAATTAAGGCATTTTAAACACAGTCCAACTCGAGTCTTATTGGAAGGGAATCCTAAAAAGGCATTTCAATGGGAATGGCAAAAATCACAACAGTCTATTATCGGCATTGTGGAACTATCCATCGCTCACTCCAAATGTAATCGTGTTGAGTGTCTTTGTTCCTTTATTCCTTGGTTCTCTCTTTCTCCAAGTGCACAGGTTATGTTTTCTGTAGATCTGGAGAAAACGGGCCGGGGGTGGAAGGCCCATCCAGGCCAGACAGAGTGAACGGCCCATGACTGTTCAGGACTGAAGGAAACTGAGAAAGAAAATTAAACATATTATCAACCTTTTACTCAATCCACAATTCACTTCCTGTGCCCTCCATGTTTCCTGAGGCAGAACAGGACAGCCACCAGCAGTGGCTCATAGGACAAAGGCAGTAACTATTGTTCATCAAACAATGTATCATAAAAAAACTTTAAAGACAATAGTATTAAATTTGAATACTCCCCAGTCTACCTTGATGGAATGGAAAGCACAAACCTATACCTTTCCTCACACCCTAAGATGCACGGGATCACATTTAACTTCAAATGAAAGTTCCAGAAAGGTCAGTAAACAACATGCAGTGCAGAGTATATTCAGTTATAAAGCAATGCACAGACTATCAAAAAAGAGGTTCAGAAAGAGATCCCCTATTAACTCTGTTTATAACTGGTTCAAATAGTTATAGGTGTTCACCCAAGAAAAGGGTTCCCATCGTATATTCTGAGACCAATTCTATAGGGAGATTCTAGGCTGAAGCTACCTGAGCACTACGACTCTGCTTAAGGTCTCAGATCACTCTATAACTCAATTATCGATTTGTGAGAGGCAAAGAAAAATGAAAGAAAGAAAATTCTCAACACTTTCTATTCAATAATTTAAAACATTTGTCAGAAAATACAGAAGTAGAGCCCTGACCGGTTTGGCTCAGCGGTTGGAGTGTTGGCCTGCGGACCAGAGAGTCCCGGGTTCGGTTTTTGCTGGGGGCACGTACTACCCCCTCCCCCGGCAAAAATACAGAAGTAGAAAGATTTTTCATTTATATTCTTCTTTTTCTTTAACATTTCATTTCCAAAAGAATAAATAAAAAGTTAAATTACAAAAATATAAGAAAATCCTCCAGGGTGTCACCCCTGAATAGTAAACAACCATAAGAAAGCTACAAGTTACAAAGTCTAGATGTCTTAGGCAAAATAATAGTTAAAACTGTAAAGCTTTTCCTAAGATATTGGTTAAGAGATAATACAATAGTCATTTTAAAATATATGTGTATATATTTAAAATGTTGATAAATATAAATGCTGAGGGGGAAACGGGAGTATTTGATATACTATTTCTCAAGTTTTCTCTATTTTTTTAATGTTCAGTCAAAATGGGAAACCTATGTGCAAAAATCCCCACACACATATGAATATATGTGTTTGTATGAATGTATGTGTGTATAGATATTTTTCCCAATAAAAAAGGATGTCTACAGTTTAAAATGACAAAAAATCGGGCGGGCTCAACTTCTGTTCTAACCCAACTATATGTAATGGTCAATAATGAAAAGGAAACTGCCTGAATATTTATCTGAGCTGTTTGCTGGCTGGGAAATTAACACCCAGAAATTCTAAAACAAACTAAAGAACATTTACTAACTAGAAGTTGTATAATGCCTAAACTGAAGAGTGGGATGCTGTCTTTGCCACGTCCTTCATCTGCCAGACCCCTTACAAGAGAGAGGTTTGACGTCATTTACCTGGAAAAGTGTGTTAGCACCTTGCAGTCTGGCTGGACTGAGGGGCGCAACAGGGCTGAGGGTGCTCCAAAAGTGGATACTGGAGAGCAGGGGGCTGGGAGTCAGCAAGATGGGCGTCTGCAACACACAAAACAAAAACATTCACTAAATGACACAGCAGGGTTATGTTTTATCCTTGTAATAATACAAAAATAGCCCTGAACCCAAATACTGTTCTACCCTCCACTCTACGTTTCTCTAACTCTGAAAGTTTATCTGAGGAAAAACTCAAATTATTTTTACAACTTAAGAAAGACAAAGGTCGCCCGGCTGGTGGGGCTCAGTGGTTGGGCATCGACCATGCACCAAGAGGTCGCCAGTTCGATTTCGGTCAGGGCACATGCCCAGGTTGTGGGCCAAATCACCAGTGAGGGGCATGCAGGAGGCGATCAATCAATGTTCTCTCTCATCAATGTTTCTACCTCTCTCCCTTTCCCTTCCTCTCTCTCTAAAAAAATCAATAAAGAAAAAAAATTTTTTTGTTTTAAAGAAATATCTAAGGTAACTGTAGAAACTTGCTAATCAATATCAACCATTTCTTTTTCTTAAGGTTCTCAGGATCAATTGTTTTCTAACTTGAAATTATCATTGTGTTTTTTTTTGTTTTGTTTTTTTGTTTGTTTTTTGTTTTGTTTTTACCCTCACCTGAGAACATTTTTCCATTTTTTGTTCAGATAGAGCGGGAAGGAGAGAGAGGAAGAGAGAAAAACAGCGACGTGAAAGGGACACATTGAGTGGCTGCCACCCGCACGACCCAACCAGGGCCGGGGACAGACTACAACCGAGGTCCATGCCCTTAGCGGGAACTGAACCCGAGTCTCTCTGGACCGCAGGCCAACGCTCTAACCACTAAGCCAAACCTTCCAGGGTTGTGTGGTTTTTTTTAAAATAAGATTTTTATAAGACAAAAAAAGAGAGAGAGAGTACTTATTTTCTTTAGAAGTGGAAAACCAAAATATTTATTTACTTGTAGAACAATGAATTTTTTAAAAATATTTTTATTGATTTTCGAAAGAGAAAAGATAGAGGCAGAGGGAGAGAGAGAAACATCAATGAGAAAGAACATCGATTGGCCGCCTCCTGCATGCCCCCCACTGGGGATCTGGCCCACAACCTGGGCATGTGCCCTGACCAGGCATTGAACCAGTGACCCCTTGGTGCATGGATCGATGCTCAACCACGGAGCCACAGCAGCCGGGTGGGACGATGAATTTTTTAACACAATGCTTCAGACCTTCTATTCTGGTGAGCCTAACTAAGGTGAGGGATTGGGTTACTTTCATGGGGGTCATATATAAACCCTTCTAAGACAAACCTAAGTAGCAGAATGAAAACTTGAGGTTATAAATCTGGATCTGTTTGGAAAGGTGAGTAAATGCAAACAGCGGTGGCAATCAAAAGGAAGACAAAGCTACCTGTGAAAAGAGCGCTGGCGTAAGGGAAGCTGTAGGCAGAGACGGGCTCAGTATTCCCAGTGGGCTCGGGTCACTGCCTGTGATCACCAGGATGGGTGCCAGTTCTAACCCTTTGGGCTTCTTGGATCTTGATGAATTACTTGTTTTGTCCTTTTCTGGCAAAGCTGAGTCCTGGTCTTTAGGCTCCAGTGACAAGTCCTCTGGCAGTTCCATTGGCTGAGAAGCCACAGAATCGATGTCCGTGTCGATGTCTGGGTTGGAACTCAGTGGGGGTGAAGGTGTTCTTGGAGGCTCCTGAAAGGAAGGGGACACGGACGGAACAGGTGTGGTGGTAAAAGCGGCAGCTGCATTGGAGGCAGAGGTTGGGGCTTCCAAGGCAGGCAGTTTGGGGGAAGCCAAAGTCTCCAACGCTTGGATGGTTTCTTCTGAAGATGGAGAAATACTTGAGCTGGTTGAAATGGTGGCAGCAACAGGTTCAACTGGGGGCTTTTTGGAAGGTGTTGTTACAAATTTAATGACAGATGGTGTTGGCTCCTGAGATTTTTTCTCTGCCAATTTCTCAGCTGGATTCTCAATCCTTATAGATTTGAGAAGCTTCCTCTTGGAGGAGTTCAAAGAGTTGAGAGTAAATGAAGAATACAAGCCGGAGTGTATGTAGTCATTGCGGCTAGAGGTCTTGGCACCAGGCTGAAGTGGTTTCTCTTTCCCTCCATTCTCCACGTCTCTGGAACTGCTGCTGACTTCGCTGATGCTTAAGGCATCACATTCCCCTTCAGTCCTGCCCACCTTCATTGGATCCATGTTCAAAATCTCTGGGTAAGAGACAAACTTGTACACAAACTTCTGACCATTGACCTTTTTTATGATATTCTGCAAATAAATAAAATAAGCATTCTTATACTTTCTTGTAATCTTACCTCACCTAGCTCATGAAAAAGCTGACCTATTGATGTTCTCTATTTTGACAAACAGTTTACTTCAAGCTTCAAAATAATCTAAAATCATCTAAATTATCTAGCCATACTCAACACCGTGCCTACTATTGTGGAACATAAGTTAAGAACATTTAAATGTCTTATTAACAATTGAACATTTAATACGTTACATAAAAGGTGAACTTTTTTAATTGCTTAACACTCTCAACAAAATATCTGTAATATCTGTATTAAGTTAAAAATCGCTGACTTGCAATCTAAAATTACTCAAAAGGCACAAGCCATACGCACGCTGAGTAAGCAAAAAGGAATTTAAAACATTATTTCTACTAAGGTTTCTACTTCTTGCAAAAATTCCAGTTGTTTCTTACCTCATGTCTCCACATAGCAAAGCTGATCAGATCAACCACTTAAAAGTGAAAGAAATTAAGATCTCAGCTTCTCATTCTAGTTCTAGCCATTTATTTTACCTCAGTGCCCAAAGTGTATTCAAAATAATAAGAAATTCTACACCAAGACACATTATAATAAAAATGCAAAAGGTTCAAGACAAAGAGAAAATCTTAAAAGCAGCAAGAGAAAAGCAGTTTGTTACCTACAAGGGAGCTCTCAGCTGATTTCTCAAAAGGAACTTTGCAGGCCAGAAGGGAGTGGCAAGAAATATTCAGAGTGATGCAAAGCAAGAACCTACAACCAAGATTACTCTGTCCTGCAAAGCTGACATTTAGAATCGATGGACAGGTAAAGCGTTTCCCAGACAAGAAAAAGCTAAAGGAGTTCATCACCACCAAACCATTATTAGAAGGGTCTCTTGAAGAAAAAGAAGATTAAAAAATATGAACAAACAAAATGGCAATAAATACATATCCACTGACAATTGAATCTACAAACAAAATGAACAAGCAGAACAGAAATATTCTCATAGATACAGAGAACATTTTGTTGGTTGCCAGATGGGAAGTGGGTTGGGGGAATGGGTGAAAAAGGTGAAGGGATTAAAAAGTACAAATTGGTTATTAGACTGACAAACCTCAAGGGAAGGGAGTTGTGAGGTGATGGAAAGAAATAAACCAAAGAAGTTATATGCATATATGCATAACCAGTGGACACAGACAACAGTGTGGGGAAAGGCGGGAGTGGGGAGGAGGGGGTCAATAGGGGAAAAAGGAACATCTGTAATACATTCAACAATAAAGATAACTTTTTAAAAAAATAAAAAGAAATTTTAAAATTTTAACTAAGAAATCAATTTTATATATAAACAGGTATGTGTTAAGGTATTTGTATTCTCTGGATTAAACTAAAAAGTAAAAATTAATTAAAGCTAAAAAAACAAGTATATATGACAATTTTTAAAGTAAACCACGAGCCCTGGCTGGTTTGGCTCAGCCATTAGAGCGCTGGCCTGTGACCAATGAGTCCCGGGTTCGATTCCAGCCAAGGGCACATGCCTCGGTTGCAGTTCATCACTGGCCCTGGTTGGGGTCAGGCCAGTGGCAATTAATTGATGTGTCTCTCTCACATCGATGTTTCTTTCTCTCTCTCTCTCCCCCCCTACTCTCCCTCCCCCTTCCACTCTGTCTGAAGATAAATGTAAAAATATCCTCGGGTGAGGATTAAAAATAAATAAATAAAGTAAATCATGATATACACAAAAATATTTATCCTCCAGAATCTTACATTTCCTTTCCTTATTCTAACCCTATATTTACCTTTTTCTTTAAAGACAACTGTTTAAAATAAAATGTGTGTAATGGAAGTGGAATCCTGAATAAGAGTTTGCAGAAATACAGCTGGAACATTTCCATTTTCCATCCTAATTCCAAACTGCTATAAAATAAATGGGATTTAAATAAACCAGGACAGTAATCATTTCGCAATGTAAACAAATATCGAATCATTATGTTGTATATCTGAAACCAATACAATATTTCAATTATACCTCAATTTAAAAATTAAATAAGTAAACTAGGATATCAGTAGCTATAACCTCAACAGAAGAGAAGGAACACTTCTTGTTCTGAGGCGGATCTGTATTACCTTCACGTAATAGTATCTGAGGGCTCGGCTGAGTTTGTCGTAATTCATATTAGGCTTGTTCTTTCGAATTCCCCAGAGCCGAGCCACCTCTTCTGCCTGCAAAAGCTTGAACTCCCCATTGTCAGAGGTCCAGCAGATCATGTGCTTGTTCTGAGGCTCCTGTAGGAGCTGAAGGAGGAACTGCCACAGGGTGATAGCACTGTCCATAGTAATGAGCTGAAAGAGGCAGACAGACAAAAGATACAATATTAACAGCTGACACTCCCAGAATACCATATGTCAGGCACTGTTTTAAGTGCTCTAAGTGTGTTACTTCTTTTCGTCCCAACAGATACTATTGCAGCCTCATTTTTTATATGAAAAAAACTGATGTGTAAAAGACTTAAGCAATTTGTCTAAGGTGACACAAGCAAATGGCGGAGCTGAGATTTAAACCCAGGCAACTGAGTCCAGAGTCTAAATGCACAGGCATGCCACACTGCTAAGGAAAGTCTTGCTGGGAGATAAAGCTAGTTCCATAAATTACAGGAGCCATCTGATGATTGCCAATCACTAGAGTATCACTGTTATTAAATTTACCTTACAAACTCATTGTCATAGTCTCTGAGGAGACCACCATTTCTGCATCTATCTTAATCAACCCAGTTGATTTATTTGCCAGGATGTGTGTCTCAGTGTGGCCTGGGGGTATAGGGAGTAATCTACTTTTGCTCCACTGGTATTTCTCCTTCAAATAGTTTCCATTATCATAAATATAATTTGCATATAAATTGGCAGCACTTCCCTGATTTAATTTGCAAGTTCTGTCACCATCTGTCCACAGGGATTCCATTTATATAGATCTACCTTTTATTAATTACTTTTTTAAAAGAATTGTTTGTTGATTTTAAGTTTAGTGAAGGGAGAGGGAGAGAAACATCTATCAGCTGCCTCCTGCACACCCCTACTGAGGATCAAACCCACAACCCAGGCATGTGCCCTGACTAGAAATCAAACAGGGAACTTTTAGGTACATGGGAGGACACCCAGCCAACTGAGCCACACATGGACAGGTGATCCATCTTTTATTTGATTAGCAACCTTTATTTGATTATCAATACATGAACTGAAAAATCATTCCATATCCCACATATTAGGATCTCCCTGGTTAGGCCAGAGTTTCCCAACTATTGATATTTTGGGCCAGATAATTCTTTGTTTCTGGAAGTTGTCTTGTGCATTAACAGCATCCCTGTTCTCCACCCACTAGATGCCTGTAGCACCTCCAGCCCAACTGTGACAGTCAAAGATGCCTGCAGACACTGCCAAATGTTCTCCAGGGGAACAAAATCATCCCTGTTAATAACCATTGGTTTAGGCGATGGAGCAACAAGGAAATACTTGCACAAAGTTATTTTTCTCATAAAACTTCAAAACGCCTTAACAGGAACAATTCTTTAGGGCAGAAACTCTGGCCAAAAAAATGTAATAAGCACATCCTAAGAAGTCTGTAACTGAACTATACCCACACAAAAACAAAAACCTTCCCCTTTTTAAATCTAGAAATGAGATCGCAGTAAATCAGGATAGGACTTGAAAACAATTAAATCAATCCTTTAAAATACTACAAAAATAGGTAAATTGGACTACATCAAAATTTAAAACTTCTGAGCTACAAACTATACCATTAAGTGAAAAGACAATCTGTAGAATGGGAGAAAATATTTTCAAATAATAGGCACTTGTATTAAAAACATTATAGAGAATTTTCAACATTAAAGAAAAAAAAGAAACAGAAAATAGGCAAAGGATTTGAAAAGACATTTCTCCAAAAATACAGTAATGGCCAATAAACACATGAAAAGATGAGCAACATCATTAGTCATTAAGGAAATGAAAATGAAAACCATCTCAGATACCACTTCACACCTACAAGGATGGCTATAATTAAAAAGACAGATAATAACAAGTGTTAGCAAGAATGTGGGGAAAGTGAAACCTTCAAACATCGAAGGTGGGAATGTAATGGAAGACAGTTTCTCAAAATGCTAAATACAGAGTTACCATAGGACCCAGCAATTCCACTCCTAGCTCCATACCCAAGAAAAATAAAAATATATGCCTACACAGACACTTGTGCAGGAATGTTCACAGCAGCATTACTCATAATAGGCAAAAAGCAGAAACAATCCAAATGCCCATCAACTGATAACTGGATGTAGTACAATCATACAGTAGAATATTATCCAGCCAGAAAACACAATGAAGTATTAATACATGCTACAACGTGGATGAACCTTGAAAACAGAAAGAAGCCATACACAAAAGGACAAATATTGTATGATTCCACATATATAAAATGTCCAGAATAGGTAAATCTATTAAACATAGAAAGTAGATCAGTTGCTGAGGGATAGAGGATGGGTGGGAAGAACACTGGGAAGTGACTACTAATGGGGTGATTTAAATATTCTAAACTTAAGATCGTGGTTGTGGTTACACACTCTGTGATTACACTAAAACCATTTAATTTTACATTTTAAGTAGGACAATTTTATGGTATGTAAATTATATCTCAATAAGGACGTTAAAAACAAACTAACACTACAAACATTGCAAAAGTGAGGCCTGAGAAGCTCCATTCCAACAAGGTAAACCTCACTGAGGAAGGGATCCTTAGGAGTCACCTATGTATGCTTCCAAAAGAGGCAGAGATGAGGAAATGAAGTGGAAAATATCTGGGTTTCTATAACTTTTCTGAGACACTCAAAAATGTCCTCCAACTATCCTCAGAGTTAATCACTTTGAAGCTGGTTATACAGAGGTACTGTTGTCCAAAAATAGAGATGGAGAAATAATAAAGAAAGGAGAAGATGCCTCCCACAGTTACAGACTTCACAGGAAGAAGCTGAAGCCATGAATCGAACTCTCTTTCATCACAGACACATGCTGTTCATTGGGGAAACCACTTCCTTTGATGAACAGAAGCACTCACACCTGGACAGCCAGGTGTAAAGAAGTATTACATATTAGATACTAACTAACCTACACCTATGAAGTGCTACTTTAATGCTAAATAACCAAGCCCACTAGAAATCATACTTTCCTAAAGCCTCACTTAAACTGGGTTAAACTAGTGGTTACACTATATCCATCAAGCACTGTGGGACAGGGGGCTCCCTGTCATTTCTGAGTTTACCAGAGAGGCCTTTCTTCTGATGCCTGTTCATGGCAAGTTACTTTTTAACTACAATGTGTTTCCCATTTAAGCAATTACTTGTTAGTCTAAACCTGTTAAAACTACTCCCTAGTAAACGTTAGCTTAACCAAAGAACTCAGTGTCCACAATTCCAGATACAATCTTCATATCAAGAATGTTTACAGGAGTAGGGGTGTGAACGTGTGACTTTGATTATCATGATGATGGAAGGAGGGGGAGGGAAAAGAAGGGTAGGCAAAGGAGGAAAGAAGAAACTAAAGACTACTACAAATTTGGTGCCTATAATTCCATTTATTTTTGGAAAAATTCCCAAAACCAAATCCTAGAATCTGGATACCTATCATGTAGATAATACTTGAGCCCCAGAGGTTTATAAAGCTAAGCAATACCTACAAAAAGACAATAACATCAACAGCTCCTCAGAGAGCACACAAGGGCCACCAGGAGCAAAGGGGAGTTTTCCAAAAGTATGGGTATTTCCACCGTGCTGCAGGTTTTTTATATAACTGTGGTGCCCCTTGGCTATTAGGGGAGTGAGAAAATACTGAGCTGTTTATTTTAAGGCAGAACCTAACTAAGGCTGTGGAAAACGCCGATGCTTCCTTAGTACTTTACAGTGCTTCTGGGATAGAGGGCTGTTGAGTTTTCAAAAAGGCATTGTGGTTTGGACTGAAGCACTGGAAGAGAATTTTCTTTTGCAGAAAACAGAGACATAAAATGGGTATCTTCAGAGGGTACTTTAAAGAGACATTTTACTCATTCAATTTTGATATCAGGTTATTCTTTGATTGGAAAGTTGGGGGACCTCTGGGTATAAGGTTAAGTTGAACCTCTTCATTTTAGTTCCTAAGTATGTTACTAATATGAAATTCAATTATTTCCTCAGTCATTAAAGAGAACTAAAAGAAAAATATTCCAGAAGACAGTTATTAAATTACAAATGTGAAATGAAGAGTCAAAAAATATAATTACTTTTATTCTTGCCACCTTTCAGTTAAAAACAAAACAAAACAAACAACACCTTTATTTTCCTCCTGGTGAAAATTTCAAGTTTCCTACAATTACAGTTTTAAAAGAGTTTTTGTTTGTTTGGTTTTTGTTTTGTTTTAGTATAAGTATGAGGGAGGGAAATACCTGATCCAAATGAAGAAATCTGATTTTTGAGGGGTTAAATGGTGAAAACTTAATTGATTCTACCTTAATGCTTCAAAGATAGACTAATCCCTGTGCTAAATTGAAAGGGGAGCCTGTTGAAATAACTTATTAGGGGAAGGAGGTCTCTATTAAATGAAAACTTTTCCACCCTAAATATGTTTATAGTACACATGGTCTAGTTGCTGTGGTGACCCACAGCCCAAATGTTTTTCAGAAACAGTAGCTAAGACCCAAAAAAATAAATGTCTCCAAATTCAGCATGCTGCTTAAATGAAACACCAAATTATAAAATGTTATCAAGCCTAGTCTTGAATTAAAAGTAACTGGTCAAAAAGTAACCAGGGGTCAGCCCTGGTTAGAGCCTCGGCCTGCACACCGAATGGTTTTGGGTTCAACTTCGAGTCAAGGGCACTTACCTGGGTTGCAAATTCCACCCCTCCCCTCTTTGGGGCGCCTGTAGCAACCAATAGATTTCTCTCTCTCACATCCATGTTTACCTCCCTCCCTCTCTCTTGCTCCCTCCCACTCTCTAAAAGTCAATGGAAAAAATATCCTCAGGTGAGGATTAATAACAACAACAAAGTAACCAGGTGTCTAGCTGTACAATAGCCTCTACTAAGAGAATATTAAAAGTATACTGCTACATTACAATATAACTGGAAGACAATATTTTCCTCAGAATGTAATGAATTCCACTTTATGCAATTTTAATGTTTAAAGAAAATCAAAGGTGGGGAGGAGGAGTCACACTACATTTTAACAAAAACACCACTGCCAGTCCTACATACTGAACCACCAAGTTTTGCGCACAGAGGGGTGGTGCGTGAAGACCACATAGGGGGTGGAAAGATCTGACCCACCCATCTAAGAGATGGGCTGAACCGCTCTGATGAATAAAACTCCGTCATAAATACCCCAAACTTCAAATAGCAATAGGCAGTGCGCCTCTCTTCCGACTGCTTCCCTCAGCAACACCCCTTCTTTCCTACCAAGGCCAGTTAATAGTCCGCCCCCAAAAGATGATGCCAATTGATCTTCCTAGGAATGAAGCAGCTACGGATCCAGCTACACGTGAAGCGGAAAGTCAAGGGGGAGGAGATTTGCTGGCGAAAAGGAGAAAAAGAAAAGAAACTTGACACCGGATGAGCAGTGAGCGTGGGGAGAGTTCTGAAGAAACGCGGGTGACCGTGCGCCGCGGAGATCAAAGTTCGGAGGAAGCGCCGCAGCCGCACGGGCCTCGGTGAGCACTGAATTACTGTACTTTCATTTTCCAACTTCCTGTCACTAGAGTCAAAATTGCTCCACTCTTCACCCCCGCCCCCCGCCGGCAAAACAAACAAAAATACCGCCGCCTTCGCCCGAGGGACCTGCTGGACCAAATAAGGGGCGAAAGGAGCGGGGCGGCGCTCCGGGTCCACCTGCGCGCCGGCGGCGCCGCGGGACCGGGTGGGACCCGCCGGGAGAGCCCGAAGCGGGTCCCAGGGGAGCGCGCCCGCAGCCCCCCGCCAGCCCTCGCGCGCGCCCGCTTCCCGTGGGACCGCGAGCCCGAGCCGCTCTCCGCTTCGCAGGGCGGCGGCTGCGAGACCCCGACGGGGCGCGCCGCTCACCGAGGCCGCGTGCGGGGCTCCCTGTGGGTCTCCGCCTCGAACACGATGCTGCTCTCCGCGCGCCGCCTCCTCCTCACGCCGGGACCTCGGGGACCGCGCGGCAGCCACGGCGACCACCGCGGCGGAGCCGGAGAAGGCGGCGGCGGCCGAGCCCAGCCCGCTGGGTGCCCGCAGCCGCCCGCATCTCCCGCCACCCCCGCCCCGCCGCGGCTCCTCGCGCCCCGCCCTGCCGCCCCCGCACGCGGTAGTCTGGCCGCTACCCGCGGGCGCGCGCTCGGGCGTTTCTGGCCGCGGCGGGTCTGCCAATCGCCCCGCGGCCGCCGCCCCTCTCGAACCCCCCTGCTGCCTTGGGGCCCCTCCCGGACGCCGTAGCCGTCGCGTCACTTCTGGGGGCGGGAAAGGAGGGGCCGCTGCGGGTGGAGACCCGGGCGCCGCGGCTGCTCTGCGCGCCGGGGTCGCCACTCTCCGCCCGGCTGTCAACCGGTTACTGGGGTGAGGCGCGCGACCCGAGCCCTCCGCACCATCGCGGCCCGAGGCCCGGACCTCGGGCGGCCTTCCCGCGTTACCCCGCGTCCCGGGGAGAGGGGGCGCGCCCAGGGGCCCCGAGGACCGCGGCCCTCGCCTCCCGCTGCAGCCCGCGCAGCCTTCTCCCTGCAGCGGGGACCCAGACGGCGCCACAGCAGCTTTCTCGTCGAAGTGCCCGATCCCAGGACCTGACAACCCCTTGATAAATATTAAATCAGCACGAGGTTCTCTAGCCTGGGGACTGACAAATGGAAACATTGGTGTCGCGGGGGAAGCTCGTTCTGGCGTTGGACTCTGACCTGGCGTCCAGCCGTGGCTCTACCCCTCACTCACCCGGGCATCTTAGCAGCTTTTTTAGCCTCCCAACACAGTTCATCATCTCTAAAATAAAGAGAACTCAGCCTCTTAGACGTGTAATGATGAAAACGACCTGTCACCTAGCAGAGTTTCTAACCCGTAGGATCTCATTAAATATAATTCTTAAGGAACCAGGTCACACTTGGTACAAGAGGCTACTTGAATAATTTAGCAGCAGAAGGGATGCACAGTCACTAATTAGCTGAACTGCTGAACAAAACCTCCAAGAAGTAGATTGTGTGTGCTATTTAACAGGAAACCAAAGACAGGCCAGTGTCTGAGTTACTTCTTGTGCCTATCTTTTACTAGCTGTGTGACCTGCAGTGAGTTGCTTAACTTCTCTGAACCTGTCCCTCAGGCAGATAATCTGGAGTGTTGCTGAGACCCTTCAAAGAGATAAAGGCTATAACGTGTGTAGTGTATTACCTGGCACATTGTAGACACCCCATAAATGGTGATGTCTTTTATTCCTCCCCTTGCCCCAGTTGGATTCAGGGTAAAATTAATTGAATTCACTGAGTGAAACGTGATCCTGTAGTTACTTTACAGACTTTTGGAAGAGAATCATCATGTCCTTTGATTTCCAGCCTTCTCCATAACACAGAGTAATTGTAGTACACAGAGGTATTCCTGTAAAAGCAACGCTACCAAAAGATGTTAGCTTCTCTATAATAATATTACCAAAGGATGTAAGAAATCGGTGTTTTTTAAAGGAATATGAAATATATGAAAGGGCCTAGCACTCTTGGCACCTACTATAAAAATTTCCTTGTACCTAGCCGGTATGGCTCAGTGGATTGTGTGTTGTCCCATGGACTGAGAGGTCCTGGTTCGATTCCTGGTCAGGGCACATGCCTGGATTGTGGGCTCGATCCCCAGTAGGGGGTGTGCAGGAGGTAGCCAATCCATGTTTCTCTCTCACATTAATGTTTCTAGTTCTTTCTCTTCCTCTCTCTAAAAAAAAAAAAAAAAAAAAATCAATAAAAAACATATTAAAAAAAACAACAAAGTTTCCTTGCAACAGCTTCCATTTTAGAAACCAAGAGGAAAAATAAGAATTTCTCAGGTAGGCTAATTAAGGCACACCCATTGGAAACGTGTGTTTATAGAAAGGTTTCATTTTAAAGCCCCATACTAAGAACAGTTAATGGTGTGGAGGTCTTTGACCCTGCTCTGCCCTAATGAACAATAAACACCCATAGTTGTATCATAGCCCCTTAGACTGAGCTGACAGTATTGTCAATTGCAATGTATTTTTGGAAAAGATCCTATTTTGGGGGTTCTTAAATTAGTCATAGCAAGTCTGTCTGCTTTTAAATTGACTTTAAAAAAAGAACAGTTTGTGTTGACAGAAACTAGAAGAAAAGTAGATTTCAGATTAGTGAACTCAGGGGAAAAGAGTTTATTCATGTGCCTGGTTTTCCCACTCAAGATTCTATAAATACAGAATTTCTCCCCACGGTTCCCCACACAACAGATGGTTCTGTTTTTGCAAACTCCATAGTGGTTATATTGGTCAACCAAAACGATTGTGCTTTTTTGTTATTGTGTTTGGTCATTTTCCCTCCAGATACATGGATTCCTAATCTTAGCCTTAAATACTGAGGACTATCAAATCAAATTTGCTCTGAGCTCTTGTTAAATGACCCTATAATTATTGTATATGTGGGATTGGATCTTACATACAGGAAAAGCTACCTTTAAAAATAAAATGCAAGCTCGCTGTGTGTTGAATTTGGCAGCATTTGCTAACCTCACTACCTGTTGAGGCCCCAAAATTCACCAAAGACGACCAACAAAGTAATGCCTAGAAATATCTTCACCAAGGCTGCTATTATTCTGGGCAAAGAAGTTTCATGCCCACTAATAAGATGTATAATCAGAAGGTATTCAAGGTCCAGAGAAAAACCCAAGAGAAGGTCCTGGAACAAGGTACTTATGGCCTCTAGATTATGAGGAGAGCTCATAGCAACATCTTTCAGCCCCAGCTGTAATTTTCACACAACACATTGTTTTCCCAGAGAGGACATGACAAGACATGAGTTACTGCAGTCAGGTGCCTGGGGGATAGCAACTATCTAAAACATTTAATGACCTGTCACAAACACGCCTCAGGAATAACTTCATCTAATTTCCATCTTTGGAATCTGTACCCAGTCTCCTCCTTTCCTCCATTAATATTTTTAACATAAAATAATTTCGTTGATCTTTCATGAATGTACTTTTTCTGGGCTTATGAAATTGCTATGAAGTATGTATGAGGGAACGAAGGGAATTGATCATTTTATTCCCCTCTGCCCTTTGGAGAAAATGTAACTGACAAAAGTTCATGCGCCTCACCTTGTGTGTGACTCAGACTGGGTAACCTGACCAGGTCCTTGTAGCATACGTATTGCTCTGAATTTTAAGCCGGAAGTTGTGTTCTCTCTCATGTAGTTTGGTGAAATTTTTTCTTTTTCAACTACAATTAATTCAGGAACCACTCATGTATAATACTATTCTGTTTACTATATACTATGCTGTAGATACTGTGTAGTTTACTACAGAATAAACCCCAAAAGGTTTTGTTCTTTTTTCTAGGAATTTCCCATCTTGGACCAGCAAACCTCAGAGACCATCCTTACTATCCACGACTTCCATTCGTTTTAGAGTTCTCTCACATTCTCTTTTTTGATCCTGCTGACATAGAGAATTCAGCTAAGGATCCAGAGGTGATAGGGAGGGCAAAGTCAGGCTGACACGTGGAGGAGGGAGAAGGCAGCTCTAAACAGGGTTTCGTGGGACGAGGAGGGATCGGAGAGGGAGAGAAATTACCACCTCCCACTGTGTCAGGAACATTTCCTGAAAGAGGTGGAGTTTCAGAGACTTGGTGCTAATTCAAAAATGTGTAATGCCAGCTCTTTTCTTCCTCTATTTATCCAGCTGCAAAACAAAATTAGTTTTGCTCTGCTCGAGAACTTGTGAGTTGGGTAGACAATTCCGAAGGGTGACACGGCCACCAGCGTCCCTCCCTCAGACTGTCGGGAAAGGAAATCTGAATCCTGTCTGGGCTCACCCTGTAAAGGGGGAAAATGGTTAGGTCTGAGGGGCTTTTCCTCCCTCCTTTCAGCTTCTCCCTGCTTCTCAGAGAACAGTCAAAGGCAGATCCCAGGGAGATCCTGAAAGTCGAGGTGGGGTCGGGGTTCCCCCATGATGGAAAGGACACCAAAGCCAAGGCTCCATGGAGCACAGAGAGTTCTGGTGAGGTTGTTTGGACTGTACCCCTCCCCACTGTGTGTACCTCTTACCTTCGTTGGCTTCCTCCTCGCCCCTCATCCCAGCCCTCTCTCAGGCTTATTTTTCTTCCTGTGACCACTTTCCCTTTTCCCCTCTGTGCCTTAACCCTGCCAGTGGCCTCTTGAAAATGTATTAACCGTGAGAGTCGTCCTTGGGCCCAAGGGGATTTCTTATCACAAAGTATTTTTATATATAACCGTGTGCTGCACAAGATACTTTAGGAGACACAAAGATGATAGACCAGCCTCTTCTCGTTAGAAGTTACTAGATGAGGCGGTAAAAATCACTGTGGTACAGGAAGGGCTGTTAGTTAAATACGGTAAAATCTAGGTCCTGGGAGCAGGTCAGGAGGGACATCACATCTCACCGGAGCACATTACCCGCAGTCCAGGGTAGCTAGGGTTTAGAGAGAGTTGTGGGGAGGGGGGTTTGGGGATGCATTTTGCTTGACTACCTTCTCCCCTGCTCTGCCCCACCTGGTATCT